TATGCTTTGATTTTCCATGTACTTCAACCTTTCAATTGAAGGTACTTTTTTTTATTTATTCTCCTTCAGGCAGAGAAGGCTCAAGTGGTACAGACTTTGCTCTTTGTTGCTGGAATTAACACACTATTGCAGACTTGGTTTGGTACTCGGCTTCCAGTGGTGATAGGGGGTTCATTCAGATTCATTCTTCCCACTCTATTTGTGGTTTTATCCAATAGATATAATACATATATCCAGCCTCATGACGTTAGTCCTATTCTCATTTCCTTTGTTTCGTGTCTGGATGGTGTATTTATACAATTCAAGTTATGTTGTCTCTTTTGATTAATTTCCTCAGAGGTTTACCCATACAATGAGAGGCATACAAGGGGCTCTTTTGATTGCATCCATTCTGCCAATATTAGCTGGTTTTTTTGGTGTCTGGAGAATTTTTGTGAGGTGGGTTATGCAGTAGGGTGACTGTGGAAGATAGCAAATTAGTGTCCATTCCATGATTTTGGAATCTTGATATTGTTTTATCTGATAATGTAGGTTTCTAAGCCCTCTCTCTGCTGTTCCTCTGGTTACACTTGTTGGACTGGGGCTTTACACAAATGGTTTCCCACTGGTAAGGGTTCTGAAGACTTCATGTTTCTTCATTTTTTCATGAATTGCAAGCTTGTGGTGTGTCCTAGTCTACCTTGTCTTGTGGGGATAATATTCACCCTGATGAGGATTGATATTATTTGCTAAACTTAGTCTTTTTCATTGTAAGTAATGATAGTAGCCGTTGGGTCTCACTGGGCACCCCAGATGGATTTTCATGCCACAAGCATTGTCATTTGTCTACAAGTGCCTTCAACAGCTCCTAAACATGGACTATTTTTGGCGTAACTTTGTGTGGAATAATAATTTGTTCACAATCGTTTTGCCATCAATGAACTCCTTCATCCATCTATATCCACAATGATTGGATCTGCAGATTAAGTCCTGCACCATAATCATAATTTTTTCAGAACCACCTTGTCAACTTTTTTATCACTTAAAGTCTTGATGCTTGTTTTACAAAACAAGTATTTCTGAAAATCTTATTGAAATTTAGGTACCGGCTGTTCTCAGTATTAGTGACTGTAAAGCAACATGTATGTTGGCCTGAAGTGGATTTAACTCCTTGCTTGGCTATTTCATGAAGATCTTGTTTGTTTCCCAACTTCAATTGTCTTATATTTTACTTGATATTTATAGCTGGCAGAATGTGTCGAGGTTGGGCTCCCAGAGTTGATTATACTAATTTTCTTATCTCAGGTGAGTAGATTTTTGGTTATTGTTTTTTTTCCCAAGTCATTGTACAAATGCCAACTGTTTTTATGTTTTGATTTTTAATCTGCTTATCTGCTCTATAGAAAACTTGTGCTTGATAAGACAGCAAACCTGCACAAGCGATGGCCATAAACCAACCAAACCATAACTGAAGTTGAACAAACCTATTGTTGAATAAATATATGAAAAATTAATTATGCAAGGCAAAGACTGGTTTAGTCACATTTGTTTTGATTATATTGGGAAAGTAATGGTAGTTGATTGGACTAGGTAATTGCACCTTGAAAAACTGTCTGTAGAATTTAGAGGGTTTGTCTCCCTGGCTTTCTTCCTTGACTACATGCGTAACTCTTTTGTGAAGTGGTTGGGACTTAAAAAGTGGTTGGGAATTAAGGTTGTGTCATCATTTACTGAATTTGCAAATTATGGGAATATATTTTTTTTTTCTGGTGTAAAACTACTAATTTAATTAAATGTTTTTTTTTTGTAGAAATATATTTACATGAATTCTGCGCTGTTATCTCTGATATTGAGGGTAAACATTGCTTTTGCAGTATATTCCTCACATGTGGAAAACGAAACGACCAATAATAGATCGATTTGCTGTCGTACTCTCGGTAGGCATAGTATGGGCATATGCAGCCCTTCTAACTGCAGCAGGTGCATACAAAAATAGACCTGCAAGTACTCAGTTTAGTTGCCGTGTTGATCGCTCCGGGCTCGTCAGTGGCGCTTCTTGGTTAGCTCTTCCTGCTAGTTGCATATCTTGTTCTCAATCCCTGTGTGTATAAGAACATAAGAATTACTTTTTCATGTGTTAAAATGTTCATATTTTTATTAATCTCTGTTTGAATTCCAAATTTGCAATATGCCATGTCCCAGTCAATCTATAATGTTCAAATATTTTGAGCAATTAGAAGTTCCGAAGCGCCTATGAGGAGGTGGAATGTTTATCCAGTGCTTGGAATCAGCGAACTAAATTAATTGACTTCTCATTTATCAAAACAACCATAGAATCACACAAATATCACATTACTGAACCAAGTATTGTTACTTTGGAAGTCTAAAGTTTGAAGCCATGTAGACAAAATTTCTCATCATCTGCAACTTCAGTTTATATATGATTGGAGGTTTACCCAAAATCTCAATGTATGAAGGTGACTAATCTGGTCTTGACATGCCTATGGACCACTTCTCTGATTACAAAGTAAATTAGTTTCAGCTTGCAACTTGAGTGAGTTTTGTACTTCATTTCTTATGACAACTTGTACTACTACTCAACGTGCAGGATAAAGGTTCCATATCCATTCCAGTGGGGTCAACCCAATGTCGGTGCTGGGGATGCCTTTGTAATGATGGCAGCTGCTTTGGTTGCTCTTATTGAGGTTGGTATATTTATTGCGAGCTTAAATATTCTGCTATATAGATAGCTGCTTGCTTGATTTTCTTTTTTACTTCGAATTGTCATTTGGTAGAAATACACGACTAAGCAAGTGTTTGGTAATAGATTTAACTGATTTTTCAATACGTTTTTAAATTTCTTGCTGAACTCCTAATGTATTCCCTGACTCTGTAGTATTCTCTCCATGTGATTTGACTGTCATTGTTTTTTTTTGAAACTGAATTGGATCACCCGTTTTGAACTTAGGCCACTACTTTTCAGTTCGTTTATTTAATTTATTCGAGTTTATTCTTATAGTCAACGGGTGCATTTATTGCTGCTGCAAGATTTGGGAGTGCCACACATGTACCATCTTCTGTTCTCAGCCGTGGTGTTGGCTGGCTGGTAGGAAGTGATCTTGTGATACACCTTTGTTTTCCTTTCTTAATCTTACACAGATAAGTATTAGTTTTGATTCATCCTTCTATTCTTTTTGCGATTTTCAGGGAGTGAGCTTGTTGTTGGATGGTTTATGGGGTACAGGAAGTGGCTCTACTGTTTCAGTGTAATATATTTGATCTGTTGAACTAAAAGCTAACATTGTTTCAGCTAGAGGATGCTTATATTAGGACATCTGCTCCTCCAACTTGTGTTTGAGTCAACTTTACCTTGATTTTCTGATGTTAACCCGCCTTTGATTTCTGTAAATTATTTCAAGTTGGTTATAGAGAAAACAAAAGATGGTTTACATAAGCTGAAATGTTCTTGTGGCAGATAATCTGATTGTTTAAGCAAATGATATTGGATTTTTCCATGACCATCCAAACCGTTACAAATCCTAAAGCCTGGGTATATGTTTATACAAGCCTAACAGTTGGGTTTATTGAGGAGCAGATGTCCTAATCCAAGCATTTACTTTTGCCTATCTATGTTAAATTAATGTATTTTATTATGTAGTGAAAATGTAGGTCTTTTGGCACTGACACGAGTTGGAAGCCGAAGAGTAATTCAAATGTCAGCAGGGTTCATGCTTTTCTTCTCAATATTAGGTGTGTTCTTCTGTCAAATTTTCTTCGCTCATTCTTAATAACATTGCATTGTTTAGCGTTTGACTATATGTACTTTGTATAAACAGAGTTTAAGCAAAAAAGAGAGCTTAAGCAATTTCATACTGTCGTAAAAGGAATTCCTAATGTAGCTTGCAATTATGTTCATGGTTTTGGACCTTGTTTTTTTGCCCTCACGGTATGATATACTGTTATGTCACTGAGCAGGAAAGTTTGGAGCTGTTGTTGCATCTATACCATTGCCAATTGTTGGAGCTCTATATTGCGTCTTGTTCGCCTACATGTGTATGTACTGCGTTTATTTCTCAGTCAAGAATATAGCTAAATTTTGAATCTTATTGTCTACAACCTGTTTCATATACATAATCGGTGATACTCCAATTTTTTTATAATGAAGTTTCTATTATTGAAGGAGAAATCCTAGCGACAAATATGATTTGAATGATTACTTACAATCATTTACTTGTAGAATACAACAAAGGCAGAAACACCTGCATAAAAAATGAGGATCAGGAAACCTCCTGTAATTTTAATAAATTCTCGATTGTCAGTAAACTGAAATATATCTTCCTGACAGAGTTACTGGATTCTTTAATTTATTTAATNGGTGATACTCCAATTTTTTTATAATGAAGTTTCTATTATTGAAGGAGAAATCCTAGTGACAAATATGATTTGAATGATTACTTACAATCATTTACTTGTAGAATACAACGAAGGCAGAAACACCTGCATAAAAAATGAGGATCAGGAAACCTCCTGTAATTTTAATAAATTCTCGATTGTCGGTAAACTGAAATATATCTTCCTGACAGAGTTACTGGATTCTTTAATTTATTTAATGCCTTCATCTTTTTCTCTGATTCCATGGATATGATCATGGTCCAGTAATAGTTACTTGCAACTTTCCCATGCAAATTTGACTCACCATCTCTCCAATTATTGTGTTAATGCTCTTACATAATTTCAAGCTCAACTCATGGCAACAAGCCTTGCTCTCAGCTACTATGCTCGGCTACACGTGTTCATGTTTTTTTTCATTCCCTTTGTAGAGAGATACTCTGAGTTAGAAATAAGACGACAAGAAAGCTATTAGTGCATGTAAGCAAGTCTTTACTAGTTCATGCCACTTGGAAAGGGAATCTTAGCTCGACAATTATGAAAAACACGAATACATATTTTCCGTTTCACACACGATTGTTGCTATTCTATTTGGTTTATATGTTCTTTTCGCAATTGCTTGACATTTGATTATGGAATCCTGGGGCGGTGCAGCTTCTGCTGGTCTTGGTTTACTTCAGTATTGCAACCTCAACAGCTTCAGAACGAAGTTCATAATTGGTTTCTCTTTCTTCATGGGCCTTTCGGTGCCACAGTACTTCAATGATTATGTGGTAAATACTGGTTTGGGTCCTGTTCGCACTCATTCTGCTTGGGTATGGATATTTGAACTTTGAGCTAGTCATAGGACTTGCCTTTGCCTATTTGATGTTTCTTAGAGTTTTAGAGGAGACCTAATTTTGATCTTTTGCCATTATCTGCAGTTCAACACGGTAATGCTAGTGATCTTCACGTCGCCAGCCGTGGTGGCAGCCATGGTTGCGGTGTTCTTGGACAACACCTTTGCTCGTAAACATCCCTCCACTCGGAAAGACAGTGGTAGGCACTGGTGGGCAAAGTTCAAATATTTCGATAAAGATGCCCGAAGTGCAGAATTCTATTCTCTCACTCTCAATCTTACAAAATACTTTCCTTCGGTCTGATATAGTGCAATTGCATATTGGAGTTCAAGAGGACTACATAAACAGTATCATTTGAAATTCATTCTGCCGATGAATGACCTTACTAGTATACGATGGCATAAAAAAAAATATACGATGGCAGTGATGTTGAAATCTACGATGATCGAACAAGGGACAAGATATATCAAATTTTATCAATATATAAGGAGAAAGTAGTTTGTTATTAGATGCTGCTTGAGCATAATACTACAATGCTATAACTAAATTTCCTCTCACACAGGATTTTTTACCAGTATTTATTGCTACAGGTCTTGTTCATAAACCTTCAATACCTTGGCTTAGTTGTTTCTTCTGAAGTTTTGAGTTTTGCTCAATTTCCCTTTACTTTGCAAAGGGTTTGGATTTTGAATGGGAAATTTTGAAGAATGCTAGCTCCCTTCTGCACTCTCCCCCCCAACCCACCCACAAAGGAAAAACAAAAAATGGTTCAAGGTTTCTCAATTCGAGGTGAGTTCAAAAATTATTATCGGTAAGTGGGTCGTTCAGTCATATACATGAATAATATTAACTAATATTGAGAATAAAATGGATTTAAAAAGATATAGTTCTTGCACTTTCTCAGTTTTAGCTCTTAGGGCATCACTTGTACTAATAAGGTTAAGTGTACAAAATATGCTCTTTTTGCAAGAAATTTCTATAGGATTTAGGTGTTATTAATCTTTTTATGAAGTGTCCTATTCAGTGTCCCTAAAATAGTACATCCATTTTGTCTTATTTATTTAGCACCATATCCATATTGACACATTCTCTAGTCCAAGTCCCATAAGTTTCCATCATTTCATATCTTGCAATATAAAAATTTATAGTTGTGCATTTGTTTTTCGATATAACTGTCAAAGGTATGCGAATCAGCTTACACAGAATTGTACATTTAGGAGAATGTGGCATCTAGATTTTGTAATCATTACCAAACTATGGACAAACGTTTAAGATCAATGTATCACTTATAATTGTGCATTTGTATCACTTAATTTCCATGAACTTTAAGATCAATAATGCAACAAACCTTCATTATACCTTGGTTGGTAATCAATAATGCAAAGTTTACTATACCACAAACTTAATGGTCACTGTACCACTCGTTTGCTCTAATTAGGCAATGACATTTATGTCTAAGTCCTAATGTCAGGGAATTGAATTACGTTGAAAACGAAGAAAAATGATAATCCAGATCGTTTGTACCAGTTATACTTGTTGGATATGGAGTTGACTACCATACCGAAAAATAAATTTATTATTTTAATAGATATTGTTATAATTTTTGTGGGTCATTTTATAATTAAAAAATTTACGACTTTTATGGGTAATTTATTACTTTAGTAGGTATTTTTACCATTGTTGTGAGTATTTTTACCACTATTATGGTAATTATTTTTACCACTTTTCTTCAATATAAAAAAATCTATCACTTTTGTAAATAATTTATCATATTTATTGGTGTTTTTATTACTATTGTGATAACTATTTTTACCATTTTTTCAATACCACAAATAATAATAAAAACACTCCCAAATGATAAATTTCAATACGATATCAGATTTTTTTTAATAGTTAATATCGAACCTGTCAACCTAATTCAAATCCAGGGCATTTGATGCTTACAATTTACAAGTAACTGTCTATTCAAAAAAAACACAAAAAAAATTTACAAGTAATTATGTGAGGGGAATTTTAACCTTAACTTAAATATAGATTTAAATTTAAATTTGAGTTAAAATAACTCAAAAAATTTCTCTAACTTTAAATTCAAACTTATACCAAATAAATACAAAACTTATTTTGAACCCAAATTGAAGCAGATTTAAATTTTATACCAAATTTCTAACGTTAATTTTTTGAATTTATTTAAAACTAAAAGACTTCTTCTTTGCCTCTTCTTTTGTTTCTCTGCTACACTGTTTCTATCACCGACCACCACCAAAATTTTCATAAATCATTTGAAGGCTTGTAACTAAGTTTTTTCTTTTTTATCTTCCATATTTTTGATTTCTTTTATTTTTTAAAACCCTAATTTCACTCATCTTTCATACTATATAAACCCTAAACTTAACTATCAAAATTTTCTTTGATTTTTTTGAGTTAAACATTATTGGTAATACAATTTCAGGGCATTGATTCTTTTTGAAATTTTAAGTCTTATTTACCCACAAATTTAAAATATTTNAGTTAAACATTATTGGTAATACAATTTCAGGGCATTGATTCTTTTTGAAATTTTAAGTCTTATTTACCCACAAATTTAAAATATTTGTCATTTAATTTTTTCAATCTTCCATTTTTGTTAAAAACGTTTGTTTTTGTATTCTTCAGACCAGATTCATATCAAAATAGTTATATTTGTTTTTTTTTTTTTTTATCTGAATTTAGAAAAAAATCTATATAATAAAGTAGCTTACGATTCAAATCTCAAAAGATAAACAAAATGACTTTTGTTATTCGTGGTTGATATCACTTTAAATTTTACTTTAAAGTTAATTTAACAGCTAATATTAAAACTCTAAATTTAATAGAAAAAAATAAGCCCTTAAAGGTCTGTTTGGAATAATTTTTTAAAAATGTTTTTAGGAATTATTTCTCATAAGTATTTTTTTTTAAATATTATTTTGAACCACTTTACCACTATCTCTACCACCACCACCGCCACCACCACTGCCACCACCGCCACCATCACTACAGTCATTACCACCGCCACCCCCCACCACCGCCACCTCCACTTCCACCGCTACCGCCACCACCATCGTCATCATCACCACCACTACCATCGTCGCCGCCACCCCCATCACCATCACCGCTATCATCACCACCTCCGCCACCGCCACCTCCACCTCCATTTACACCGCCATCGCCTTCACCACCACCATCACCGTCATCGCCGTAGCCACTACCACTGTTGTCGCCACTATTACCATCACTGTTTTCGCCGTCATCACCATCATCATCGCTGCTGCCACCACCACCGCCACCACAACTATTATTGTCTCCTACCACTACCACTATAACTATCGCCTACCATCTCGCACCCTCTATATGAATACAAATGTATTTATTATTTACTATTTTTTATTACTCTGTGCATTCAAAGATAGACAATAACTAGTAATAAGTTATTAGAACAATATTAGAATTATTGGATGATTTCTTTATTTCCATGTAATCTTGTATATAAATATTCATTTTTTTTGAATTACCCATTTGTAGAGAGATGAAAGTTTCATTTATTTTTTTTATCAAATATCATGATTTGAATCACATAAAAAAAGAGTTTTGGGATAATAAGAAATTTTTTAAAAAGATTTGAATAGATATTTGATTTTGCTCATTGGAATACTTTGTATCAAATCAAACTTTTAAATCAAATTTAGACTCATAGTTAGAGATGCTCTGATACCTTAAATATACGGATCAGTGAGAAGTCTAAAGTATACAATCATTTTCTCCAGAGTTTACAAAAAAAATAGTTGTTAAAAAGTTTAATGATGAAAAAAAATATAAATAGCAATATGGTACCAAAGAAAAATAACACTTGTATTCTTAAGGGGTAATTCAAATGGTAACAAGAACAAGTTATAAATTAAGACGCATGAAGTTCAAATCTTGACAATTCTTTAAAGTCAGATTACGATGAATTATCCTAGTCCTGACATGGATGACCTGTCTTTGATTGGAACAAAAATAAAATTAGTTGAAGTGTAGGTAAATTATTTTGAATATTTTTGACCGTTAAACAAAAAAAAAAGTTAATTCTTTTTAAAGGTCATGTTACACGTTTGGAAAGTAATATTGTAATTGTTTGTGTTAAATTCTAAAATTCTGTGGTCGATTAGCCTTTTGGCTAAGATCAAGTGTGGTCGATTATGAATATTTTAATTAATTGTAATTTTTTTTAAGAGTTAAAACTTAAATTTTAATAGTTATAATTTTTTTGATTGAACGGAAAATATTTTTTTGAAACTATAATGTATATAACTCTAAAATTTTTAATACGACACCTCTTTCAATATTTTTAAAAAAGTATTGCGTTTATTCTAGTACTTGTACTATGAAATATCAAAATACTATTTTACCCTTAAAAAAACAGGAATTTCGATAGAGACCAGTCAATCACGAAAATCAAAGCGGAGAAAAGAAGATTTCTAATCAAATTATTCAAACAATAGAAAGTCAGAAAAAAAAAACACATCCAGCATAGAGAGAGAGAGAGGGGTGATCTGGTGCATCGCGACAGACAGATCAGAACCGTACACTTCCCCCACACCTCGAGCCCGTTGATAATTAAACCCGCTCTGCTGCCAACGTACACTCTCTCTCTCTCTCTCTGCACTTTGACACACATATACACAGTCCCTCAAACCCCTCCTGTCACTCACTAGACAATCCTCTAGAGAGAGAAACAGAGAGAGACAAACAGTGGGTGTCTGTTTGCTAAGCTATAATTAACATGTCTTCCACCAAACCATAAGCTGCCATGTGTTTCTCCACCGCACTACCACCACCACCACCAACCCCTCAGCCTCCGATTATTACTTCCACCAATGGCGTCACTGTTAAGTCGCCATTAATGACCACTCTTACAGACCCAAAACCGGAACAATGTCTCAGTCTGTAGAGCAGTCCGACGGTAGATTGTACTGTGCCGAAAACGCCAGCGAAGTGGTCCAATTCGATGCCGATAACCTGATCTCCGATTTCACATCACCATCGCAACCGGAAGACTCCGTTATCAATCAACTCATCGATTCGGAGCCCCATCACATGCCCCACCCGGACTATCTCCGTCTCTGTCAAGACCACTCCGTCGACCTCACTGCACGCCAAGACTCCATCAACTGGATCCTCAAGGTCTCTCTCTCTACATGTGTATATAGATATAAACTTTTATACGTATTTGTGTGTCTGTTGTAAATTGTAATTATTGCATTCGATACAGGTTCATGCACACTATCACTTCAGACCAGTAACGGCGTTTCTGTCTGTGAATTACTTCGACCGTTTTCTCTCTGTTCACTCTCTTTCGGTACGTCACATTTTATCATCTAAATTGAATGTATCTGTGTTTTTTTTTTCGGAAAGATTGTATCTGTGTGTTGGGCCGTCTGAAAAAGTCCGATTTATGACGGAATTGTTAATGGTGTACAGCGGGGAAATGGGTGGCCGTTCCAGCTACTGTCGGTGGCGTGCCTGTCTTTGGCGGCAAAAATGGAGGAACTGTACGTTCCGCCATTGATAGACCTCCAAGTGTTGGAACCAAAGTTTATCTTCGAGCCCAAGACAGTACAGAGAATGGAGCTCTGGGTCATGGCCAACCTCCATTGGAGACTACGCTCAGTCACACCTTTTGACTACCTCGATTACTTCATCTTCAACCTCACTTTTTCCGGGTCCAAAACCAATCATTTTGCCCACATTTTATCCTCTTCCTCAGATCTTACTCTGAACACCACTCGTGGTAATCTTAGACCCACTTTGTTCTATAATTCCACAGTTCTCTTTTACATGAATTTTTGTTGATTTTTCTTTAATTTTATTTGGATTTTGATTGTTTTTCAGTGATCGATTTCTTGGGGTTTCCGCCGTCGGTTGTTGCAGCGGCCGCCGTGCTTTCCGCCGCCGGTGAAACTGCCGGATTACCCGATACCTGTTACGAGAGAGTGAACAAAGTAAAGTAAATTCTCGTTGTGCATATTCAAATAAGTAATTGTGGTGTGAAATGAAAATTTCAATTTTCTTGGGGGTGAATATGTAATTATTTTTGTATATTGGTGACAGGAAATGGTGAGAAGCTGTCGCCAACTAATCGAGCAGTACCTGGTTGACACGTGCCCCTCAAATACTCCAAAGGATCTGAGAACCGTACCGGCGGCTCCGCCCAGTCCCGTCGGCGTTCTTGACGCAGCCGCCGCATGCTGCAGCTGCGACACTAGGTCCGACAATCCCGTTCTCGGTTCCGAGTCATGCTCGGTCTTGGCCTCCGTGTTCAATGAATCGGACCCTCCAAATAAACGGCTAAGATCTTCTGCAGATGATGTACAGCAACAGGAACCGTAGATAAAAGACCTTATTTTTGAGAGAGCTGTATTTTTCATTATCTTTCTCTATTTGCCGTTGATTATTAATTGGACGGCCAAGATCAGAGGAGGAGATGACGGTAACGGAATTTTTTTTTTATTTTTTTTTGTGGCACTTGTTTAATATTTATAATTTTATGTACCTAAATTTTGTGACTGCTAGATTCTATTCGTTAATAATTTGCCTAGTTGAGTAATTATTCTATTTTATGATGTCCTTTTTTGTCAGAATAATCTACTCAGGTTCATGATTTTCCAATCATTCCTTAAGAAAACGCTTCAATCATTACTCAATGCCTACCAAATTTTTTATTTTTAAATCAATTCCTCTTCTTCTAAGTCCAAGGACTTGATTGAAATAAACTCCATTTGGACCCGGGATCCAAGTTTATTGAGCGATTTTTTAATTAATTTCTTGGGTAAAAATAATTTTTATTAATATCAAGAAAAAAGAAATTAAAAAATGAGGTTTTTCCAAGAATTTCTAAAGAAAAGATGATTTTTTTGGGAATAGTTTATGAATTCTTTTAACTCTAATTTTTTTATTTTATTTTTCATATCTTTATTTGGCACTCAAAAAAATCAATTCGAAATGGGTCCCAATAACAAATCAGCTTATTAACATGATGTGATCATCTTTACAAGAACCACTTGTACATAAAATGGTCCTCATTTTTTTTTCATACTTTCTTTACCCAACTAACCTTAGAAGCCATGCAAGATAACATTATCACACCTTGGACTACTTTAAGCCATTTGGGTACTGAAGTAATTTTTAAAGTCTGTTTGTAGTAATTTTTTAATTTTTTCGTGTCAAAATAAAAAAAAAATTAAATATATGTATAGATTATATATAATAGTTTCTACGATATGAATTTTAAATTTTTTTACGTTATTAATAATATTTTATAAATATAATAAATTAAAAAATTATATGAACCCATGAAAAAATTCTAAAAAATAAAAAACAAAATCTCATAAAATTAACTTTTTGAATCAATCTAAATAGATTTGTTTGGGTCCAAAAAATTATTACATAAACTGATAAAAAAACTAAGTTCCGAATGAATTTGACTTATTCTTTTTTTAAACTTTTCAAAGCTCCTTATTTAAGGTACTTCCAAACAAATCCAAAGTGGTACTCAACGGGATGCAGTTTTTGTTCTTGTGAAAACTACTTAAACAAACCCCTAAATATGGGTGTTCAAATTTTCAATTAGTTTTCTTATCTTAATCGATCTTTATCTGATTGTATTGAATGGCTAGCTAAAAATATTGGGCAGGAATGCATAAATTTTTTTGATTTTTTGATTAAATCGGATAAGAATGCGAAATAGCCATAAATTTTTGTATTTTTATCTTACACTATGCGCATTAATTACTTAATTTATATATATAAGCTAAAAATCCTAATTTTCTAATCATATGATTTAAACTTAAAATAATTATTATTGTATTTATGTAATAATTATGATGAATTGATGTTTATGATTTCTTGTGTTTTATTGTAATTGTTATTGTAATTGTTTTAGATTTTAGTGTTATTGGTTTATTGTGTTGTTAAATTGGTGCATGTTATTTAATTGAATTGTTAAAATGATCCAAAAATTAATAATTACAAAATCATTCACCCAATTTCCTACAAACTTCTTAGCCGATTAATTTGGCCGAAAATCGGATAAGAATACCACACTTGATCAAGTAGGGTAAGTCAACAAAAAAATCTTCCGTAAAATATCGGGTAGGAAGACGAAAAATCATATTTCCTAGCGTAGGGTAGGGTGTACACCCCTACCCCTAACTTTCATATCAATTTTAGTTGGAAAAATCACACATTACTCTCAAAAAGATTTCAAAATTCTTAATTTCCACCCTAAAAGTTAAATTTTCACAAATTGCACCCCCCCAATAATACAAATCAGTTGCAATCAAGAAGGAGCTGATCGGTAAAACACTACATTAGGACAAGGTTTTTTTTTTCTTTTTATTGAGTATGGGAGAGATAGTTAAGTGTTGTATAAGTTTAGGATTGAATGTTTAAACTTAAATAACTAAAGTTTGTACTTTTGTTTCAAAATTTCTAATTTGAATTATTCAAGTTTATAATTTTTATTTATGTTTTTCGATAGAAAATTGCAAGATTGAGCCCATTGGTGGATGGGTTGAAAATGCCATTTCAACTTAAGTTATACAACTCTAAATTTAAATTTAATTGGAAATCGAATTCAATTTGAACTATTAAACCCAAGTACTAACTATTTTTCTATTTTTGAACTTGGGCTCAACTTTATTTCATTATTTGTGTTTAAATAGGATAAAAATTCAAATTTGAAACTCGTTTTATACAATTCAGATTAAATTTTAAATTAAGTATAAGTTGAACATAAGTTTGATTCTAGAGTTACACAATTAGGGTATGAATTTAAGTTCATCAATTGAATCTTGAATCGATAGTGTAGATGGGTTAAGGTTGCGCTCGATAAATCAAGATTCTAAATTCCAACCAAATGTATCCTACCTATTATTCTTTGCTCAAGTTTAATAATTTTTAAAATAAATTAAAATTGTTTGCATTAATCCATTCAAATCCCTCTAAAAATTCACAATTTCATAGGGAGGAGGGCATAATTGTAATTATGTATGTATCCAGGTTTACAAACGCTCTAGATTTGAGAAGATTTTGAACGTGACAAGAGAGACTAATACGGGGGTTGGATGGATAAGGTACGTTACCGCGTAGGTATCACATCAAAAAAAGGGATCGGAATTTTTATTTTAATTTGAATGTTTTTTAATTGTTGCTAAAAAATAAATTAAAATTAACAAATTTTTAAAAATTAAATCCCTCATAATTCAAATCGAAAGAATTGTCAAAAATACACACCGAACAAGTCTAACTTTGGAGTTAGTAGAGATATATTCAATTTCATTCGAGAATTGTAAACGGGGATGACGTGTGCATGACGTCCACTTTCCACGTCGGGTGTGGTGGGAAAAAGGAGAAAGATGGCGCGAAAGGATCTGAGTGGGGGAGAGATGTGGGAGACAGTTATGGTGGGGCGGGAGGGGGGAGGGAGGGAACACTATTGAGGACAGTCCCAGCTGTAAAGGAAAAGATTTGATATGGGTGGACACCACCATCTCCAATGGTCATATCACTCTAAGGACTGTACGGGTACATATCCCCCCACCTGTTGTTTTTAGTCCCCATATTTTATTGCATTAGAAGGGCCCATCAACATGATGTTTACGGTATACCAGAAATTATAATTTTTTAACGAGAAAGTTATAATATTTTTGAGTTATAAATTATAATTTTAAATAATATAATTGATCATATAATTTTAAGATTGATATCGTATTTTTCATGATTGATTTATAATCGATCATGATCTCCCTTGAACAATTGCATCTTCTTATTTCAAAATTATAATTTTACCATATAAAATAGTAATTGACAATACCAATATCAAAATTCTTTTTCAGTACTAGAGTTTTCATTTTTCATAAACTTTTTGGTATGTATAACATTACTATTAAATGATGGAAAACTTTATGGTGTCAATTTTTTTTATGTCCCCAAAAGTTAAAATTTTTTATTTTAATGTTATACATTTGAAAGATGAAGTTATAACTGATAAAGGGAAAGCTCATTATCAATCATAAATACACATGAATGTTTATGGTTTCTTTTGATCAATTATAATTTCTCTTTATTTATTTATTTTTTGTTAGAAGTCATGGTATTTAAATTTATGTTGATTACTCTATTAAGCTCATATACTGATTATCATAGTCCGAGTGAGTTTAGAATATGTTCTTTGAAGAATAAGGATGACTAGTCCTTAAGAGATATAAAAAGTGTTAAACTTCAAATTTCTGGGTTACTAAAGATCTGACTCAGCCATTGAACCACCCCTAATAACCAACCACCCTCTTGGATTATAAACTTATTCTCTAAAAATTGTAATTTTTATGCTCAATCATATTATTTATAAGTTGTAACTTATATTTTAAAAAATTATAACTTAATTTTAAAAAATTATAATTTTCGGTACGTTTGCGGTATCGTAGCCTTTGCCTTAAATGATATAACTTTTGGTATAATATTGAAAAGATATTATAGTCCTTCTCCTATATCATTGGAGCAAGTGGTTACTAATATTCGTATATTCATTTTTATTTTTTATTTTTGGATTTTTTTTTGTAATGTATATAGTCTTCTATTCTTAGTTTCTTACTCAATGTCGTGTGTCTGATAATTCTATAGAGTATCCTTACATTTTGAAATGATATTTGGTCATGTATTGTTATAATACAATGAGACGATAAAATTTGAACTCGCGATCTTAAAATCTAACAACGAGGATAATGATCATTAAATTAGCCACTGACCTCTAAAATGATATTTATTTTTACATGTTCTTTATATTAGGAGTAACTCGTGTCTAAAAATACGGTACAATGTAAGTGAGAAGTAATGAATCTGAGATAAGGGAGAATTCAATATGAATAGTTTTGAGATGAGTATTGATAGTCGTTAAATGAATCTATTTGAGACTATGAAATAGACTTATTGAAATTTACCTTTTTTTTATATTATAGATAACAAAACACACCTCTACATTATTACAATGATAAAAAAATATTTTCTAAACCAAAAATCTCTTCCATATTTAATGGAATTGCATTAGCAAAACTACTTTAAGGATTTGGTACACATTCTTGCAAGAAAGCGATAGGAAGAAACTCATCTTCACAAGTTGTCATTAAAAGGCACAAATGATAGTTTCCTTTGTCTATTTTGTACAACCTCTCTAAAAGTTGATCATGTTTAGAGAGTAGGATGAAAATTCCTTTTAAAGTCTTCGGGCGTGCAGAACGCCTTGGTGCTCGATTATAATTCTTGTACTGCTCCCTCACGTCCCCCACCTCTTCCCCTCTTTAATCTCAATTTATCTTTAACAGAAAAAATAAATTCTTCGATATTTAGGTTAGTTATTTGTAAGTATTAATTCTTGATAATACAATAGACGTGGACCGACAAATATAATGTACCTATATTATCTCAATTCATTCCCTTTACATTCAACACACCAACCTTTTAACTCGCAGAAAATGTACGACGTTCTTGAAATCTATGCACGCAAAAAAGTTCAACTTCTTCCTTGGTGAATAATTCGAAGATATTGTTCACCCA